TCAAGCCAAATACCAAATATACAAGTCAAAGCAAATCATGCAAACCAAAATCAAGCATACATAACTAATATTAGATACACAAGTCAATGCAACTCTTGCAAACCACAATCATGCAAAATCAAGCCTCTCTAGTCACTCAAGCAAATAAATCATGCGAGCTAAGTAGTTATCTTGAGCTAATCCACCAAGCATTTTCTTCTATATCATGCCACAAAATAAGGTCAACTCTTGGTAACTCTAGTAAGTGACCTCCAAAATTACAGTGTCTAGGAAAGTTCTTCAAGGCAATACCCTCGGTGTTTAAGAAGGATTGGGTTTTAAGCGGGACCATTGTGACCTCTCCAACCTTCCCGGAAAAGACCTGGCTGTAATTTTAGAGACTCTTAACCTGTTATCCTTTAGTTGCTCCTAAACCCATGCCATGCCATGCGACGGTAATTTATTTTGGGCTGAAAATTGATTATTCAGACCATTTCAATACACATTCATGGCCCTAATAATCAAAGGGGCTAATGTTGAGGCCCAAAATATTCACGGTTCAGCCCAAATAAATTCTCGGCCAAATGCTGCTTTACCAAGAAGAAACCCGATTTGGGCATGCGAAAGTTCATCATATGCGCTTGCACACATGCCACGCCAAACGACACGCCACGCTAAGTAAGGAATTATCATTCCGCACCTAATCACGCCACAAGTTTAAGTGGGCCCCAAGCCACTCAAATACCCGGGGCCTGCTGCTTGAGTGGGTTGTGGTATGGATGGTAATAAATTGTCATGAGGCCCATTGATGGACCAAGAAGTGGAGGTTCCGGGTTACTTGGGAGCCTCGGAATCCAAGCCCATTTCTTAGGCCCAAATATGTGGGTGAGCACAAAAGAGAAAGTAGCCCAACCAAAATAGCTTACTCCAACCAAAATAGCCCATCACTTCAACCAAACTAACCCAATACTTGATGAAGTTAGCCCATGTACTTGATAAACCAACTTATTGTCATAGAAGGCCCAAGCAACCCAAAAAAATATATATGCAAATCTTCAGCACCTAGCTGAAAACAAAAGCCACGTTGAAAGCCAAAATATCCATGTTTGAAAGCTGCTGGAAAGCTCCAGCACATGGGAGAAACAAGTTTCAAGCAAAAACTTCCAAATGACCAAGGGATATTGGAGCGCAGATCACTATTTGAACCAGCATGCATACCCATTCCTTCCCTCATCAGACCTAACCTTGGAAAATGAGAGAAAAGAAGGAAGAAAGATGGCTGAAAATAGAAGTCTGAAACAGCCGCAGGAAAGGGGGCTTTGAGCTCCTAAAAAATCCCTGATTTTATGCAAATGGGTAGAGTGGATTTCACCAAAAAGGGATAATTGAAGAGATGAAGGGAGAAAGGAAGGAAAAGCTTAGCCAAAATGGGTAGAAGCCATTAGGTTTTCTTGGAAAATATCAGCTTCCAGCGGCTATAAATTAGGGCCTCTTCTACCCAACAAAAATCATCCACAACTAGAGAGCAAGCTTCCTCTCATACTTGCAAAAACCAGCAATTTCGTGCACTGTTCATCTTCCTCCATTTTCTTCTTCTGACAAGCTGCCAGAAGAACATAGTTCTTCCCTTTTCTCTTCCTAGCCACATATGCTTGAAACCCTCTTCTTCCTCACCTTAAACACTCCCTTTTCTCCCTAGGAAGCCATATTTCCTTTTTGGTGCTCAACTCATGCTAATTTTGCT